AAAAGCTTTCGCGAACCATTTGTAACTTTCTTCCACTAACAAGAGAAGGACACTTAGTGAGCGTGGCCGTTCTGGATGTGATGTATATCAGAAGATTAGATGAATTTGAGAGCTGTACTTTATAAAAAATCGGATCGGTTCTATTTGTACTTAAAAACTAGTCATGAGACTACAATTATTAGCAAAAAGCGAAAAATAGTAAAATATATTTATTTCTTATCTTGTAACACATACTTGTACAAACAAACTGGTTTAGAACTACATAATATATGATAATTTCCCACTTACTACAGATGAAAGCGTTCATGCGCTCTGTAAAGGGACAATATGCACCACCCGCTGAAACTCCAATTTCATAGTAAGAAAAATACCGAGGTAGGACTACGAGCTTTGCCCGCGTAAGAAAGCTGCATGCTAACAGCACACAATGCACTAAGATAAAACAAGCATTCATACTTCTCTTCTCAGACTACCCACTAATATGACGTAGTGAAAAGTGGAACCTAGAACATAAAACCTGTAAAGTCATATTTGAGTAGTCGTACACATTTAGTAGAAATCAAGTCTAGCAATAGCAAGCGCGATATCAAAGGCATACACTTTTTACAATCATATCGATAGTTTCATCCACTGTATCGCGTGCCACGGCACCAGTGTAGGGCGGCAAACCGACCGCTTCATGAGTGGTCATTTCGTTTTCATCAGATGAGTAGAAATATCTGCAGAAGGTGGGTAGACAAGACGACAACTCGGTGAATGTTAAAACGTAACAGGAAGGCTTACTTTTCGAGAATTTCATGTGCAGCAACATGTATGTTCATTGAATGACTGTCACATAGAAATTCCAGTTTGTCCTTAGCGCCGAGCTCTTCCATTCGCGTAGCAACAGGATTCAAGAAATCTTGAAAAAACTGGGGTGAAACACTTAATAATGCATATGTTGATTCCATGTGATAACGAATGATGGGCTTTTTCTGTACGGTAAAAGCAAAAAAAAATTTGCTCTGAACGACAAGACTTCATCGAAAAAAACTATAAGGACTTAGCGCGTATTTCATTTCAGTTTTACAAAGTGCAAGTATCGAGTGATCTAAACGAACTAGATGATAGATCCAGACTAGATCTCAAAACTCTTAGTACTGGGTTCTCAAATAAGCTCATGCAGTTTTTTCAAACGTGTAGAAACCAAAAGATAAGAAATTTCTGCATGAATTTATTTAACGCTAGAAAACTTAAACGCTCTACAAGATAGCTAGCTTTTTGATCAAAGCTGCCGTGAAATTTGTTTACTAAAGAATCACTGAAGTACAGGTTTGTAGAAAAAAAGCTACTCCGACATGTGCTAAGCTGGAATTCACTTGGAATTCTCTGTTTTCACTAGTGGAGTAAGCGGATATGTTGATTATAAACATTAGTCCACTCATAAAAGAGAAATGACGAAGTAAAACACGACAGGTCAAAATCAAAAATTTACCTAAAGACTAGTTCAATGGGTTTCAGCGGATTGCTTACAAGAATTAACTCAAAAACCATATCCATTTAATGTTAGCGCCGTTCGTTGAATACACAAATTTAAAATTCCCTTTCACATAACCAGTGATTCTAAGTAACTCATCGTTTACCTAACATTATCCCAAAAGAAAGCGTTATCTTATGAAAAGGATATGTGATTTTGAGCAATCCATCAATCACCTACATTATTTACAAAAAAGGCTCTTATAGAGATGATATGATGTGTGACGAAAATGTTAAATAACCCCACTGGATCAATTTCTCCAAGAATTGAAACCAGACCTCACGAAAGTCCTTGGAGTTTAGAAGTGAAAATTTGATCTAATTATGACACAAAAAATCTTTATACAGTTGTCGACTTAAACCATCTGACTTCTTTGGAACTAAAACTTCAGCAACTGCATCAACTTCAGTAATTGCTAAGATCAACGAGGAGTGCAACGCACTCCTCGCCGGTTGATGTTTGGATTCTTGGCGCTTATTCAAAATATTTGAAAGAGCTGTGCGCTGTGACCTCGGGCTCGCGGGACAGTAAGTATTATGACATCAATATATATCTTACAATAATGCGTTCCCTACGATGGCTACCCAAGGGTGTAACAGTTTTGCATTCAGTTAGCCCTTTAGATGTTATTTTACGCTTCAGCAGAGGGATTTCCTGTTTCTCCAATGTAGATGTCTCCGCATGACAAATACGAGGTCAGACAAATCACACCTTACCCTACACTTCACCTTCCTGCTAAATGGAAAAACCACATCCGGACTTGAAGGCAGTTCGGGCAGATTTTCGACTGCAAGCTGCCCAACTTTTCTGAACCATTTCGATGTGCTGAACATGGATAGCAACTCTAATTACCATAAAATTATTAGATTTTGGGCCATCTTTGGATTGTCGGGGATAATTGGCAGGTTTTCGACTTTTGGTTCCGAACAATCGCACGCCTTTCTCGTTAAGAGCACTGTTTTTGAAAGAATCTAAACATGGATGGTGCTGAGGAGAAAATTACTGAAAGGCCGGGACGCTCTAAACATCCAAAGTGAACGACGCACTTACCATGGCGAATTATTCGCCGAATATGGAGAATGGCTTACTTAAAGAGTCGGCCATCATCATATATTGAACAAAATCCTAGTTTTCTACACACCTTTAAGCAACTGCGGTTATACGCTCTGTTCCAGATCCATTACCGCTTTAAATTGGGTACGTATATCAACCACTCTAACCATGTCGTGCACCGCCTGAGTAAATCGCCGCACACTGCTTACATAGTCTTTATATAAACGGCATACAAACGGTATATTGTTTGTGGCATCTACCATGAATGCTTACAGAATTCCGCAGCTTTTCAGTGTACCCGAGCTAACAATATTTTTCGCTAAACTCACTATAAGAGCAATTCTGGATACGTGACGAAATTTCGCGTGCGATGCATGTTCCTGATAATGAATTTCTTGACATGATTAATGCGCGGATAGGAAGTGTACCAAGATCTTGCATCTTAGTTTGCAAATTAGATGCTATTATCCCCACGGACAAACCTGATTATACTTTGCTGATTGAGAATGTTGAAGCACATACCCATATCAGTCTGAGTTGGACACTGGCTTTCTTGTCCGCTCGGAGAGTTCCACTTTAAGCAAAAGAAAAGGTTGCTGGGGTTAGAGGAGGGCGCGCAGGAGTTCCCAAAGCCTCGCCGCTTCTCCCTGGAGCAAGTGATTAGGCGTCCTGGGAGAACCTCACACCTTCTAAGCGCTAGGCTCTGACTCCGCCCATTGTCT